TATTCATCTACTGTTTATGATATTTGTGAAACTTATCGGTAATGCACTACTTTCTACAGATAATATCGTGATACCTGATGAAATAGAAAATGAATTAGAATGTTTGAAAGAACGGTTAAAGGTTGAAGAACTAGAGTCTGAGCAGATTCAAAATGAAATGAGAAGAGTATTGCTAGGTGTAAAAGGTAAAAAATGGAAATCTACTATTTCCACATTGGAAAAGATATTAAAGATGATTAGACCGTTAAATATGCAAGAATTATTTCGACTTGCTGAAAAAGTGGATGAAGCTGCTGAACTGATAAAGGGAAAAGATGTCATTCTTCTGTTTGGAGGAACTGGATCAGGTAAATCAACTAAAATTCATTTTCTTGGAGGCTCTAAACTAATAGAAACGAAAGTGAAAGGAATGTATCATATTCTTGCGGTCGAAATAAAAAATGAGGAGTTGAAAAAGATAACGACTACACCATTTGCTCGATCTGAAACGCGATTTATCACACCTATCACAGTAAATTTTAAAGATGTTGGTGGTCTTACCAATGATAGTTTTGTGTTATGTGATAGTCCATCAGGATTCGAGGATACAAGTGGACCAGAAGTAGATATTGCAAATGGTTTCGGTATTGTTAAAGCAATAAAAGGAAGTAAAAGTGTCAAACCTGTTATTCTAATAAGTTATTGAGGCATGGGTGATCGACTTGGTGGTGTGAAAGAGTTGACTCGTACATTAGTGGGACTGATTCCAGGAATTGAAGATCACTTAAATACTTTTTCCTATATTTTTACTAAATTTTCTGCTAATGAAAAAGATACGATTTCTGCATTACTAGCTAACATAGGGAAACAATGAATGATACTGAAAAGGCAGATATTGGTTTGAAGACTTTGTTTGAAGACATTGTAGATAAAGCCGAAGCAGGTGCTCGAGTTTTAGATCCAATCAATGATCAGTCTAAAGATATTCTCAAGAAACTTAAACGGTCTAAAGCTTACTCGTCCAGATGAAGTATTTCAAGTTTCTATCACAGAAAAGTCATGAGCTACTGTACATGAGCAAGTGAGAAGACATCAGTTAAGTATTATATCTGCAACTAAGCGTTCCGAGTTTTTATTTGTCAAGTACAAACTTGATCAATTGAAACAGTTAAATGATTTAATTGATCAAGAATATATCAAACAAATTTACAATGAGTGTATTCGATATATAGTTAAACATCTGAAAAATGAATATGAAGAAGGTACTTCATCTATGAAACGCTGTCTAATGAATCAAACAATTTTGAGCGATGAAGACATTAGTCAATATCAGTCATACATTACTCATGCTAATTTAGCAGAAGAACTCAGAAAAACTCATATAGGAAAGGAAGTTGTTCATAGTACTGCATTTATACAATACTTAAATCAACAATTGGAAATCATGTTGAGAGAATTAAGAGAAAAAGAAATCAACGATTCATTAGTAAAAATAGATTTGGACAAAATAAAATTTGTCTCAAATCACTTTGATTACGAAGATATGAGAGTAAAATATTTTCAATTGAAAGAATATTTTATTGATTATATAAAGAACTCTGTAGAAAAATTAAATCGTATGTTTCAACAAGAAAAATTATATGAAAATGATTTAGTGATTTTTGAACAGTTGTGTATGTAGAGTCAATGTCCCTAAAGCGAACGGACATTTCATAGGTCTTCATTGCAGCTGCAATATCTCCGTCATTTTTCATCATAGAATGATTGTTTTTATATCACGGGAAAGAAGACAAAATTCTGCATCAGCTCATATAAAAAAATATTTTGTAACTATAAGAATAGTTGAGTAATCAGCGGTAGAAAATCAAAAATTGAAAACGTTCGCTTTATGTGCATTTCCCTAAAGCGAACGGCCAGCAAAAAAATGCCCCTAAAGCGAACGCTCCAGCAAAAAACACACTAAAATGAGAAACAGTAAAATTTTTATTCATTTCTGCTCACAGATTTAAATAAAATATTTTAAAATTGATATCATTCGATTCCTCATCTTCAACTCTATCATTTTCCAGCGGTACAGTTAAATCGATGCTGATTTCAATTTTTTATTGAAGTAAGAAAAAATTATTCTCCGTTCGCTTTATGTGCATTACCCATAAAGCGAACGGCCAGCAAAAAAATGTACATAAAGCGAACGCACCAGCTATTTTAGCTGGAGATTAACCCTCTCTCAGTATTCTGTTCATTTGCCATAGACTAACATCAAAATTTACTTAAACTTCCGCTGGCAAATATCTTCAGAATTGTTACCACTACAACATACTAGAGGTTCAATTAAAACATGTAAAAAATAAATTCTGTGAGATGCAATTTCTTTCATTTATCATGTTATAGGAAAATTTTCTGAAATTTCAAATAT